ACAATATTCTTTGTTAATTATAATATTGCTTCAGATACTTCGTATTTATCCTTTAAAAGATTCCGACCAAACGGCTAATTCCTTCTTCGCCGAATTAGTAGTCGACGCTGATCCAAATAATTGTGAGAACGCATATGCTTACATTACTGATTTGAGTGCATATGGTTTAGTAGTCTACAGTTGGGCTGATAACGACTCGTGGCGTATAACGCACAACTTCTTCCACTTCGATCCTCTGAACGGTGACTGAATAAAATTACAAATCTAATCATTAAAATGGACAATTTGACAAAAATGAAAATAAATAAAAATTCATTTACTTATCGATTTCAGGAGACTTTAATGTCAGTGGACACAACTTCCAGTGGACAGACGGAGTATTTGGGCTGTCTCTGTCCGAACCGCAACCGGATGGCTATAAAACTTTGTACTTCCATGCAATGTCTGGTATTACTGAGTTCGCGGTATCAACTGAGGTTTTGCAGGATAAAACGTTAAAGAAGTCTGCCGATTATTATGCTTTCCGCGTCGTGGGTAACAAAGGCCCGAAAACTCAAGGCCCGACTTCATTGATCGATGCGAGAACTGGTATCAATTATTTTATTCAAGTGAACAAAAACGGCATCGCCTGTTGGGACACCAGTGTTGCATTGAGTCCAGATACCTTCGGTAAGAAATAATTAATATTTCAAAATAGTAATTAAAAATAAGCAGGAATCGTACAGTTTTAACAATAAGAATTATATAAATAAATATCTAAATAATTACCTTTATTTCTTGCATGTTATATCTGCAATCTTGTTTGTGTGCAAAGTAGTTGACGAGCTTTTGTTTCATCAAGGATTTAATTATGATTCTAATCACTGGTAGCTATTAACGATGTACGATTGTACTCGTCGATTTCCAGATAAATATTTAAAATGGCTATCGCAAATTGCCTCTTATCATGATTTCCTACCGCATCGATTGAATCTTGCGCAACAAAATTCTAGGAAACCTTAACTTTGCGAGAGAAATAGCATATAGCTGATCATTTATCTCCCCTACACCATCAATGTTTGAGAAGCTGCCTCCAGTAATATAAAAGGTGATGACGTTCTCGACAGGAATGAATAGTGAATATTTCAAGATATTTGAAAAATATTTTTGATATAAACGACTTCATGTAATCAATGAATGTTACTTACTGCCAAATGTAACAGTTACGAGAAAAAGTGCCTTGTACCATTTGTACACGAATGGAAATAGACAATATATTTTGTAAAATCGTCATATTATTATTTCCA